CTTGATCGCCATTTTTAATAAATTACCAAGTTTGAGTCTCCATAACGTGATGTGGCAGCCTCTCATGTTAAAACCCTGAAAGGAAGAAAACTTTACTTTTTCACTATACACATACAATGAGGACATGTGAGAGATGAACTCTGCTGCTGGAGAACTTCCATCCAAAAAGATTTCATAAGTCATTCTGAGATACAGCATTCAATCCACTCCAAATTTATGTCTAATAGTCATATCAACAGACAATATACATGCTCATTACACATAAGTGAAAGTAAAGCTATCCCTGTACCATGACGTGAAGGGTCGACAGACATTGAGGGTCCCACATTATCTACACCAGTGTTTCCCAACATTTTTGATGCCACGGACCCTTTGTACCAAATGTTAATTGACCACAGCCCCCATAAAACACAAAATGGATTTTTTTTTCTATTTTACATATCATGAATGTCAAGCAGAAACTTACAATTTTACAACACTAAATGTGTCATTTATGATAATGAAATACTGTTACAAATGGAGCTTATTAGGAAGATCACGAACATATTATTAGGCCTAATATTATGAATTTAACACTCACCTAATGTTATGGCTCACTTATGTACACGTTACTTCAAAATGTAGTTATGGTGGGGCAGTATCCTTCCCACTGTCACAAGGACCACTTGTGTCTCTCTAACATACACAGGAGTGGAACATTAACACCAACACACATCAACACATCATAGTGGAATTCTTCTTCATTCAGTCACAACTGACTCACTGTCGCTAAAGTCTGTCAACGGTGATACAGGGCCACCACAATCAGCAACTTCCCAAATTTCCTTCGTCTCCAAAATATAGCCTGAAGGACAACAAATTGACATTAACTTTCCACATATATATCATGAAAATCAACTAAATATTACAATCACAAAAATTTATTNATTCACTTAATTATGAGAAACAAATCTTTCAATCAAATATTTAACTGAAATCATATTAAACAGTCATAAAATTCCATTTCAAATTAAATCAACTATATCACATTTTCTTATCTTACATTATTACAAAGTGAAAAATTTCATTTTAAGGCAATAGTGATCGCATTTACTCCCTTAGCCCAATGGAAGCCACATGCACAATAGGTAAGAATCCTCTGATTTCCATGGATGGATAAGGCAGCTATGGAAGCCACAAGCAGACCAACTC